CCAAACACCGGAAACAATTAAGTTCTAAACCTATAATCTGGTGTAGTCTATAGTGATACAATGTATAAGAATGAGCGCCTCTGCGCTAATTGAGATAGTTCTAGGAAAACAGCTATACCTCTTCAAGAAGGCAAAATCAGTCGGTGAAATACATAATATTCTGAAAGCAGAGATTCTGAGCAATCGAATGCTGCAAAGAAATTCACACGTTACCGGGCAAACCTGAGAGTAGCGGTATCTGGAAGACCTTAACGGCTATAACGCTATAATAATGTTTACAATTGATCTATAGTGATCAAATGAATGTGAATGAGCGCCTCTGCGCTAGCAATAGCTTCACCATCTTCAAACTAAGCCTGTGCTCAGGTTTGCCCTGTAACATGGTCAGTTCTTTTCATCAGTGGAATCCCCATATTCTCTGCTTTCAGAAATGTATATATGTTGTCGGGCGATTTTCCTTGCTCGAGGAGATATAGCTGAATTCAATTAATACATTTTGTCAGGTTTGCACAGTAACGTTGTTGTTCTCCATACCGCCGGATTCCCGAAATTCTGTAATTTCAGAAAATTCTGTAGTTTTGACAGGCAGTTTGGCATTCCTTTAGAGAAAAAGCTGATTTTCTGAATATGTCTGAGTCGCTGGGCAGCGTTCGTTTCAGTACACTCGATGTCAATTGCTCAATGCATATACATTAGCGTAGCAGTATGAAGGTCACCATCTTCAAATAATCGACGTTTTCAGGTTTGCCCTGTAGCATGTTGGTTTCTGCACACCATTGGAATCTCCAGACTCTCCACTTCCCGAAAATTATATGTTTTGTCGAGTCATGTCGTCAAAGTGAAATGATCGGTCGAAGTCTATCGTATTATTCTTACTGATAATTTGATTTATCATCGCTCCTGCGAACTTTACGAACCTAATTCTTAACGCAATTTCGCCTGTGGCTATCCATTGGCATTGCTCGTTCGAATGCAAATTTCTAACGCTTCTCGTTGATTATTCAAGACTAGTGCTCATTTTTCGAAGCCACTATCCATAATCGCCGACTCTGTTTGCTTTTTACGAAGAAGTGATGTTTTCCTTTTCCACTTTAACGTGATTTTGGTTATCGTTTGGAAGGTTTCTCGAGTAATTCTAGCATGCATTTACGTCCCGAAGCGATGCTTTCCAAAACATATCAAATCATTCCATTGATGTCAAATCATTCCAGTCTTGTTCATATCAAAAATCAACAATCCATTGATGCAGTTGGATAAAATTTTTGTTTGAATGACTTTTTTAAGGGCATTTTACGGCATATTTTACCCGCTAACGCTTTCATCTGATTTGTCTACGACAGACCTTTTTATAGTGACAATATTTGCATAGACAAATAATTCAACTTTTATGATGTTAGCAAAGATTGCACACAAAATAAATTCACATGAAATTGATTGTTCAATCGAAATCTATTTCAGGTAATCGGCAGAGCTGATTGTTGTTTTCACTCAACTTCACTTTTGAATACAACTTGGATGGCTCCACGTGAAATCACTGAAATTCCTTACTTCTTCTATTATTTCGCTTATGGAAGTAATCTGTTAAAAGAACGCATTAATGTTCAGGTATCATCCAATGTCGGTTATACTAATACCATCAAGTTTCATCAGGATTTTCGATCACAATTTCTTACCCATTCAACAGTCTGATTTGCGTCGAATAATGTGATCAGTTAACGGTCAACATTCGCTAGTGTTCTTGATCTGCATTCTTATAGTTAGCTGAATTCTTCTGTCACAGGACGACCTTATAAAAATTCTTATGTACTGTTGACAGTGAATGTACGTTAAGTGAATTCACATAATTCACATAATACATCACAGACTTCATTCCACGTT